GAATATGTTGAAAATTGATCTTGATTTTTTAACCAGGAACAGTAATACAGTGAATTTAAAGATTTAAATTTTTAATAATTAAGAAAAGATGCTTCTTTATTTTCAAACGAATTTGAAAATTCGTCTCAATCTGTTATCCAATGAATTTTCAAACTTTATTTTTTCGAATAGAAAATATGAAAAAAATTTATTCTGTATTTTCGATTCATTTTTGTGTCAAATCTATAATAAAATGTAAATATGTGTATTGTTTATTATAATAAATAATTTTCTTTTATTTATCTAAAGATATATATTTATCGTAACGAAGAGTCGATAGATATATTTATTCTTTCAAGATAAATGTTCAAATATGATCCAGTATAATCATATTATCGATGATCTTGAAATTTCGAAAAAAGAAAAGAGTTATATAAGATCAGAAATTAATAAACGAGCTCTTTTACTGTTTATTAACTCGTCACAACAATTGAAAACAAAGGAATTCGAGCAGAAGAATTCATAATTTGTTTATAGAATGTCCGCTGAACCGGTTCCACGTCAAAGATGGAGCGACATGGTTACACGAGAACTTTGCGTCCACGATATATTTGCGTAACGTTTCACGCCTCGGCGAGTTTTCATTCCGTGGACTCGTGTGTATCGCGTAGCCGAAGTAAGTTGGGCCGGCCCTTGTACGATTTGCACGGATGAAACGGTCCTTGTGTCGGATAATCGAGGTTGGCTGGAGCCGAGGTTGTCGCCGATCCACGACTCGATGCTTGTAATTAATTTCGGTCGTTGTTGCCGCGTGATTTAGTAGCCTCCGGTGGCCATGGATGGCCGATGGTAAAACTAATTGCAATTACTGTAATTACCATGCGTTGTTAACTGCGAACCAGGCTATTTCCTTTTATGTACTTTTTTTTTTTTACATCTCGGAGAATTTATATATTTAATTATATAAAATTGATATATTGAATTGAATCAATACGAGAGTGTTAATTTAATTATTGGGATTTTTATAATATGGTTGGAAAATTTGATGGATTTATTGTTTTTTTAAGAGAATATTCAAGGATCTTTTGGTAAAGATAATTTAATGTGATCTCTAGTGATTTTCACTGCACAGTTTGTTTAGGGAATTTGATGGAAAACTGATCGTAAAAGATATTTAGGATTAAAGTTGTATAAAATATTATTATGGATATAAATATTATTATGGATATATATTATGGATTTTGTAGAAAATTTTATCAATCTTTTTTTAGAAAATAAGATTGATTAATATATTACAATTGTTACATAACCTAATTTCTAGTAATTTTGAAGAAAATTGAGATGTATTTAAGATTAAATTTACACAGAGATTAATTTAATTGTTGCAATTTTTATGATTTGAAAAGATCTCAAGAATTTCTTTATATTATTTTTGATAAAAATTCGAGTATAGAGTTAAGTTATATATGATAAAAAAGAAGATACAAGAAGTTTTAATTTTAAGGATAATTGTGATTAATGTTTATTTAAAATTCGTATAAATAGAAGCAATTATTATTTGGAATAGCATCAAATAAAAATTTTTTATTAACAAATGTGTGACAATTCGATTCTTCGATCCTATTCTCTTTTCTTCAAACGTGCCTTTTTTTGTAAAAAATGCCTTCTCTAAATATTACTTTTAATCTTTTATCGTTCTTTACATAAAAATTTATTTCATCAATATTTTGTATAATTAAAAATTCGTTAATATTTAAAGGGAAATGGGGAAAGGATTTTAAATATCAAAGACGTTACAAATTATTTTTAATTTTATATATATATCGTATTATTTGTAACAATTATTCCAAAAAGAAAATTTTAAAAGTAATTTTAAATTAATATTTGAAAAAATTGAATTCAATAAATAAATATTTTTCATACGTTTTCAAATGTTTTACCAAATCCATTTTTTCCAAATTTTTTTCTTCATCAAAATCATCTGACGAAGAATGTAAATTTCCAGAAAGATAAAAAAGATAAGAAATAAAATAATAAACTTCCCCCCTTCTATTAAACCCTCGTGAAAAATATTAAATTTCATACCAAACTTCGTCAAATACAATGTTGCCAAGTATCCACGAAGAGAAGGAAAGGGTCTTCTTTATCAGTTCCCTTGATAAAGTCTCGAAACATAAAATTTCTGCCACTCTTATTAGCAAACTTGCCCAAAGTATGTTACCCTATAAACTTCAACGAAGAATTATCCCCCAGTTATATCTTATTCCTTAAAAATCGGTGAAACTTTATTCAAATTATCGGGGAGGGCGAAAAGTTGAAGCGAGAGCCAATTTTTCAACCGGATATCCGCACAAACTCGTAATCATCACCTTATTCGGATGGATTCTTTCAAGGGGAAATTTTCCACGGTTCGAAACGTTTGATTAAATTTTTTTTATTCGACGAGACGTTGCACGTCACACAGGTATTGCAAATTTCGATCACGTCAACCGTGCGATCCACCCCCATAAGATATTCAATTTCCAGCGATCGGATTTTCTCAGATGAACGTTGATCAAACTATTTCTGCGCCGGTCAATATCGCACACGATGGATTTTCCTATTTTCGTTTCACACGTTTTCGGATATAATATTTTCTTGGGATATCAAAAATGTAATCCATCTCTTTTGTCTCACTTCTTTTATATCCGCAATTTGAATATTGTTGATTTAACATGTCGATCATATATATATATTTCTTTAATTTTAACAGTGCATCATTTTAAAAGTGCGTTTTTACTCAAATTCAACACGCGAAACATATCTTTCTATCCTCGAACGATGAAACGTTTATTTTTTCGTATTTTATTTTTCATCCGCGTGTCAACTTTTTAATAAGTAAACTTTTTTATTTCTAAAAAATCTCTCTCTAAAATTATTATACATTAGCCTCGAGAAACACAGAGATTGCCTAATAAAATAGGGAAGCTGTACTAAGTCAGAACTAGATCCTCCTCGCCGCTTAAACACACCCTTTCCCTAAATGGCCGTGCATAACAGCGTCCCGCGGGTAGAATGCATCCATCCAGCCCCGGAAACCGTCCACTCCGCGGCCCGCGAGACATAATACCGTTTGATGACATCATTAAGCCGGAGCCGGAGCTTATTGTTTCTCATAAAATCGTACGTGCAAACGCGCATCCTCTCTCACCACCGTCTTGCCCGCGCTGTTTGGACGACGATGACGTCGCTGGCCGGGGCGAAGGACACAGGCGTCGTTGTCTCCATTTCCCGCGACGGGACAATAAACCGGGTATAAAGTTATAATTAAATGGCTGTAATGGCGCGTGTTTGCCACACGTGACGCGACACGGATTATTATTGCTGGAGGGGGGAAATAAATCTTCAAGCGTCTGGGCAGCATGCGTCCATCTTTTTTCGGCCTGAATTTATGCTCCCCTTTTTAATTAGATTTTAAATTTGGATTTGTGAATATTAAATTGAATTATTATAGAATAAACATTGTAAGAATTGTTATCGCGGTTTTTTTTTTACAGGAAATAATTAAATAAATTAAATATTCACTGGTTACGAAAATTCCATAATCACGATTATTACGTTTCAAAATTGTTATTGTTTTGAGATTTCAGAATTAGTGATAAGGGCAGGTTACTTATCTAATGCGAAACTATATTTCTCTCCGAGCTTCGAAATAAAAATTATTCCACCACTTTCAGAAATCTCGCTATCTCGCACCGCTTTCCACCGAAAGAAAATAAAACTCGAAAGACCTTCAAACTGACCACATCCCAAAAAGAAAAAAAAAAAAAAAAAAGAAAAGAAAAAAGGCCAACCCAACCTTACCGATAGCGAAATCACCAGCACGGACCATCCTCTCTCCGACCCAAACTAAATCTCTCGCCGCGCGACACCCCAATAAAAATAATCGCCGTTGGGGCTGCCCGCTTTGGTATTCCGGTTGTATGTTTATCGCGCGATTCGTTCAACTAATGGGCCGTGATCGCCGCGATAATCGGGATCTTATCGCTTTCTTCCGGACACTTTCGCGGCCGGCCAACCGAGATCCATGCGACCCGTGGTGTAAGCAGCCGTAGATGGGGATAACCCCGTTCAATTTCGCCGTCTGTTTGCCGGCTGGATTCCGCTCCATTCGTTGGTGGCCGTATACGTGACGCGAAAAACGAATGCCGCCCGCGTGGTTTCCTCATGGCCCGGTGGGTAATTCGAAAACCTTTCCGGACAAGACGAATCGGGTCCGCGTGAAATTGGCCGCCATTGCTCGGAACGGGTGATGTAGGGCGAGAGTGGGTAAAATGCTGGTGTACACGCTTGGTTTTTTCCATTGTTTTAATAGTTCTGCGTGTATATATAAAATTGTATAGATAAAATCCTTTTATCGAGAAATTTATTTATCTACTTTTTTTTTTAAACCAAGTAACGAGTCTGTTCTTTTTTTTTTTTGTAAAAGATAAATGAAGTAAGTTAAAACAGAGGACGTATCTTGGAATAAGGAGTTAAGGAGAATTTTTTGAGATATCGTTGTAATATGAAATAAAGAAAAAATTGAAAATCTTCCAATTTATTTGAGAAGAATTATTATATAAATGGTAAAATGAAATTTGGGAATATTAATTTTGCTATATATATAATTTTGCTTTTGTTTTGATATACCATATAAACACAATAAAAATTGCTTAAATAAAGGAAATATCGTAATTATTTCGTCAAAGAAATTATCACAGAATTTTTATTTAATGAAAAGATAATTTTTACATTTTTCCGTATATAAATTCTTAAAAAATTTACATACCTACATACGTTATATGTTTGAAATAATAGGAATTTTGAAGATTAAATTTACTATAATATATACAGTTAGGATTTGTCAAAAAAATGAAAATTTTTAAAAATTTTTGAGCGAGGAAATTTAAAAATTCTTATAATTAGTATATTTAAAAATTAAAGAAAAAATTGTACATTGCTTGCGTGTTAAATGTGTTCGATCCATTTTTTTGTTACAGGAGAGCTCACCTCAGAAATTGCCTTGAAAAGTTGAAGGTATTGGTTCCGTTAGGTCCGGAAACCTCAAGACATACCACGTTGGGCCTCTTGACTAAGGCCAAGCGTTTTATCAAGGTAAGAATTTCAACAATTCATTAAAGGACACATTTTATATTTATACCATTCGAGCAATTAAATTGTTCATAAATCATAAAATTTAAAAAATCCCAAAAGATAATGATCTTTTGTGGCATTAGAAATTAATTAATTCGGCCAGTTTTCTATAACTATTTTTTTTTTTTCTAACATTTGCAACAACAAGCATTTTTCTTTTTATATATATCATAAAAATTATAAGAAAATATGATCTCTGCGCTTATAATGGATTATGCACATCGAGCTTAAATTATTTCCTTGTCGTTTTTAATGGACTATATATTTAAAATTTGAACAATATATGGCTGGGTGAGTACAAAATTATGTGTTACTGAGTATATTTGCAGAAAAGTATAACGAGACAAAGTAGCAAAAAGACAAAAAGAAAAAAAAATGAAAAGAAAGAAAGTGATGGAATAATTGAAATGTCTTATAAATAATGACAAAAATATTATGATTATGACGTGATTACAAACGTCTCTTGAAGTCGTATATTTGAGTTTATTGAAATATCCATCGATAATATTATGTAAGATTAAAATAATAATTAAAATCATCAAAACATTTATGTAAAAAAAAAAAAACAAAAAGAAGAAAACGACTTAAAGTTCATTAATTTCTATTTCTATAGAGACTATTCACGAAACTTAAATTACGTACAATTAATATTTAATATTTTCGTATATTGATCGAATAGATTTAAAAAACACTTGATGCGAATGAAGTATAATAATTAATTATTTAGAATTATCCCCATCAATTTCTGGAATTGAATTTGAAGCACGTACATACGTTTAGAAGCTTAGAAGATATGCATCGTTAAACAAAATGCCAATCTTTCTTTTTTTTTTCCAGAACACATTTTCAATTCTGCGATATTTAATGGGGCGCTATTGCATATTGAAATAAAATAGAACGTCGAAGTAGAATGCATTGGCAGTATATAGTTGTAATACTTAAATAGAACAGAGATTCTGTAACCATAATTTCGAATGCCGCAGATACAATGACCTTATTTCTATGCAATATGACCGCCATGAGTCAGAAGGTGGGAGAGAATTAGGTGGCTTCTCCCCTTACCCCTGCGCTGAAAAGTTTACTCGAGGTTAGACAACTTCTCATCTCCGCATAGTATAGATGACAGCTTGGGAACATGGTGTATTGTTAATGATGGTTTCAGAAACCACGTTAAACTGCAACAGTCTATGCTGATTAAATCACGACTTAAATCTCTAACCTATGCGAAACATCTTTTATCTTTCCATCAAACATTTTTAAATCCATCCATATATACATATTTGTTATGGATTTGAACTCTGGTATTACGATTCATGGTAAAAAAAAAAATTATTGAAATCAAAACTCGAAAGATAATTTAAAAAATTTATTATTAAAAAATAATATCATCCTCACATATACGGTACATATAATCGCATATCATTTTCACCACGAAATCCCTTCCAATGAAACGTATTATTCCTCCTTCACCTAATCTCCGCGAGGCAAGTTCGAGCAAACAGATACACCAGAATTGCCCATAAAACTGCACAGCGAGGGGAACACGGGCGGTTTGAATATTTCATAGGGTGTTCCACGAACTCGCGGCTCGCGAGAATCAACGAGCAAGAAGCACTTACGGAAAGCATCAAGCCGCCTCCTCTCCTATATCTATGCATCTTCGCTTGCGGTAAAGAAAAAGAGGAAGAAAAAAGAAGAGAGAGGAAGAAAAGACAGGAAAATGGGGGGATGAAAGGTGGAAAGGGACGAGAAGAGATTTCTGGGTGGAAAACGGGTCGGGTAATTAGCAAGAAAGATGGCGGAAAAGATGGCCGAGTGTGAAAAGAATCGTGGCCGAGCTCGGTCGATAAAGAAGAGAGATGGGAGAGAGAGAAAGAAGTCCAGGGGCGGACAAATAAAGTATTACACGAACCTCGTCTCTCGACGAAATACGAACGAGACGCGCTCTTTTTCTCTATCATTAGATGGTCAGCCCTTTTCCATCGTTCACGACCTGTTCGATCGTCCCCCGGCTTTAATTTTTCCTTCTCTTCTTCGCCCTGTACCTTCGACACGCTTCATTTCCTCTTACACTTTTTCTAACCTCTTTTTTTTCTCTTTTCCTGATTTTTTCTCCTCTCCGTTGTTGTTTCTTTGGTATCTTAGAACCTCTCGAATTTTCCTTCTATTTAATTAATTAACTTGATTCTTTAATTAACTTTCCAAACAATTCTTTTTTTTAGATTATAAACATTTTTCACGTTTCTAATTTATATAATGCAATTAATCATTTTTTCCCTGCTTATTATACATATGATCAAGTTATATGACGTTGTACATTAAAATATTTTTGAATAAAAATTTTAGTATAAAATTTAGTATAAAATTTAATAATTTAATTGCATACTAATTAAAAATATTCTTCCAATATACTAGTATTTTTTATTTGAAAAAACATAAATTTTTTTATTTAAATTTGTTAATAACATAACATTTAAATACATAGATTTTATATATAATTTTGTTGTTTAGTTCTTAATAATATAATATTGTTTATATATCGTTTTTTTCGATAATTACATAAATAATTATATAAGTTGCATTATATTAATTAGCTTGGATAGATAGGTACACAGGCTTCTTGCTTCTTTCCGTAGGTTACATTTTAATGTTTTCGTGATTCAAGTTATCGTGATATGTCAGGTTGTTCTAAGAAAAGTTTTTTTTTACTTGACTGAACGTGACTGCAGGTGTGTCATGAGACGTAATCGATGGGAAGCTATCAGCGCTGACTTGGTATAGAATAGACCTATCATCCAATGTATTTTTGTATCATAGCTGAGTGCTATATGACCCTCCGTTACCATTCTCGTGTCACATGCGACATTATCGATTTAAAATGGCATGAGACAATAGCAAGATTGGCAAAAATTAACTATTGAAACGATTATTTCTTTTTGACACAATCTTGAATTCTAAAATCATTGAAGAAATTTATTAATTATAAATATTTTGATCGTGTATTGGATGAAATTAGCCGGGGACAAAATCATTTCACTAAACATGAAATCTTTTTATTTTATATTTTTTCCTAAATCTATATATAATCTCTCTAATAAATATTACATTAATAGAAATTAATAGAAATTCAAAGAAGTTTATATTTCTTTAAGCTCAGCTTAACTCTTCTCTATTTCCAAAATTTCACACAAACACCATAAAATTAAAAAAAAAACCCTACAACACATATAATCAATCTCTAGATTTCCCTAACACTCAAATCGTATATTTACATTACAACAGGAATCAATAGAAATGAATAATTCTACTATCTGATCCTTAAATACTAGCATTTTTTCTTTCTCTCTGTTTCCAAAATTCCATAGAAACGCTAAACTATCGAAAAATCTCTATGCACTAATCTCTACGTCATCCATCAACTGCTCCGCACAAATCGAAATATACAGAATGCGCAGTGGAAATGGAGGACAGAAGTGAAATCTTGGCGCAGGTAATGTACAGGTACCTGCAGCGGCTCGAATTGATGTATACCGAGAAATCTCCCACGCGGACTCTATATGCATGGACGAACGGTGGATACGCGCCGGTGCACGCCGTCCGCTGTGTAAACCATAGCCTGGCAGAGGAGCGACAGCTAGGCGAGTTGGATGGGAGAGGGGGATACATAGACAAACACGCGTGCATAGTCATAGACCGTGCACGCACGCACGCCACGATGCATGGCATTGTGCCGGCCAGCTTGTAATTTACTAACTACGCATCCATTGTCCGTAGCCACTCTATCTCACCGTTCTCGTCGCAACACCTTATCCCGACGACCCGAGATATTTCTCCGAGTTTCTCATCATCACAGATTTTTCGGTTAAAATTTTAAATTTTTCGATCTATTTTCGTATCTCTTTGAGCATCGGTGTGTCATTTGACGACGAGTAGGAATGATATTTGGTATATCGAGAAATTATTGTATCATAAAAGTGTATACATATTATGGTTTATTTTGACGTTATATGCTTGATATACGTGTCTAGTGAGGCGAATCAGTTTCGCAGATGAAGCAAGGTATTTACGTCGTTCATAGTGATGAGTACGCACAAATATCCTTTATTGAAATTCGTGAGACTGTAGATAATGCAGTTTTCTAATTTTCCAAATGTATTTCAAGCAAGGTATATTAATTGATAATTGAATTTTTATTGTTAAAATCAAGTTTTGTTTATATTGGTTTCAGGATACTTAAGAATTTCTTATTTTTATTGAGTCTAAAAATAGCAAAACGTACATAATGTATATTTAGATTATCTTTTATCTAAATATTTATAATTTTTGATACAATGATTTTTTTTTATTAAAATTAGACACAAAAATTAGTCAAAAATTTTATTTTTTGAAACGAAATTTAACTCTTCTTGTTTGCAGAGTATAATAAAAAAAAATCCTATTAAACTTTCTAAATAAAAGAAAAATTTCAATAAACTTAATAAATGTGGATTGAAAAATTAATATTTTTAAAGATACAAATAATTTTTTTCTTTCGATTAAAATGAATGGCTTGTTCACTTCAGAAGTTATCGTGCTACATATGAAAAGTATAAATGTAAAAAAATTTCTGTATTTTCTACGAAGAATATAGAAAATAGATAGTATATTAATTCTTTATATTAATTTTTTAATTTATCTATAATTATTTAAAATATTTATTTTACATAATGTTTATTTGCACTATCTTTTAGTTTTATAAGTATATTTAAAAGATATTTTTAAAAGTTTATGAGTTTTTTTTATCATACTATATTGATAATGTTTCATGCTTTTCTTTTTAAAATTCAAGTTCTTTTGATGAATTTTTTGTTCGTTAATTGTAATTTGTATTTATGAGTTGCATTCTTTTGAAAAGAATTTATATTGTTCTACTTTATAGAGAGTATTTTTATATGATATATTATATGGACGCCCCACATAAT